ATATATACACCAGCTGATGTCTATAGTTGTCTATAATTTGGACATGGTAAAATACATAAAACAAACAGCATCTGTTTTATGAAGTACATAAAACAAATGCTCAAAGATACGGGTCTCATAATTCTGCAGAAATTTACTTTTACTTTTACAGTGCCAGTAGGTGGTTATAATGCCAGCATCAAAATTCAAAGGCGGACCTTCCTGATCAAGGCAAGGCTCAGAGAACTTCGCTTAAATTGCCATTTAATCAATTTCTGCTCGGGGATGAATAAAAATCTGTTCTATTCTATTGGACACGTCCAGAACAATTGTAGTTTGTGTTTCATTCAAGTATTTAGAATGTCCTTCTTAGTTTTCAAAAACCCTCATGTGGAGAATAAACTGCAAATATTGCTTGTGGAGGTTCCTCCATCTTTTCGGCAGTGTTAGTATTTATTGAAATGTTTTTACATAATATAATTAGAATTTAACTTTTTCTTTGGTGGTGGTTATTGCATTAGGTTGTTTACTAATTTGGGTGCACACATTTAGTAAACACCTTATGTTTATTTAGATCAGTAACTATTTTTGTTTTGCTGAGTTTGAAGGACTGGCTGGCAGAAGATGATTGGTTGTAAGAGGTAACAGTTTAGGTCCGAAAAAAGATTTTGCATAGTTTTTGTATTTGAAGTGGGGCTTTTAGAGAGCTAACTAGAAGGTTGAATTAATTTGAATAGTTTTCCACACAGAAACGAGCCGTGCCCTTTCAGAGGTTAAATCAACATTGTCTCACATAACCTAGATAATCATTAACTGTGACTTAAGATAGAAAGCAGCTATTCTCAACAGTACTCCCCCTTTAAAAAAAAAAAAAAAAAAAAAAACATACAATGAATCATAAAACATTTATTCTTTTCAGAAAATAAGTTGTCTTTACTGTAAATGCATGAAAAAGTGTTGTCTGTTTCTAATCAATACCCTTCTCAAAGCTCAAACTATTATTTACTTTACAACATGTCTGTGCTTCACACTGTTCCTGCATGTTGAAGTTTAAGCAGATCACACTCATTGTCTCTCAGCTTGTTTAACGTAACGTTTAATTTAACGTCAAGCAGGATTTAGAGGGGAAAGTTAAATCTGCGGCCTTATGTACTGGTAGATGTAATAGTTCATGAAGAGAATCAAGTGTTCTAACTAGAAACTGCTGCCTTCACTTGGAGTTGGATAAATGAGCAGCAGGTGAAGTCAGTAAACCTTTACAATATTGAAGCAGAATTGTCCTGTGTTGAGATCGAGGGTGTGGAATTATCCAAATAATTAACTTAGTTATTGTTTGCTCACAAAATCTATTGTAAAATTCATGTTATGTATGAAGAAATTGAATTAATGCAATTACTTCCACAGAATAACTACATTCCATTTAAATGTTGAATTAGTAGTCCAGGTGTGGAAATCAATATGTTGATATCATTCCAAGTTTATCTGAACATATTTTAAATAAAATAATAAAAAATAATTATAAACTTAAAGGCTTTTTTTTTGGTTCCTGGCATGAAGTTAGAAGAAGGCTTTCTGGATCTAGAAACTTCCCTGGCTTCCTTGAATGCATCATCGCTTTCCAAGGAGTGGCCGCTGCACCTGTCCGACCTGTTCGGGGGATACATGACTCCAGAGGAATTTCTTCCCGTTCTCCCGTCTTTTGTTCAGCAGCGAGTTTTCCTCTTTTTTTTCTGAGTGTGGACCGTGTGAGAGCCAGAGAAGAGGAGAAGGGGAGACAGACAGAAGGCTGATAAAGAGATGTCGGAACCAGCCGCAAACCCCGCCGCCACCTCCTTTCCAACGCCAACTATCTCGTTACCTTTGGGACTGGAGGTGTTGAGGACCTACTCTGGAGTCCTTGTCTGTTTGGAAATAGTAAGTGATATTTTGCAAAAAGGGTTGTTTCGGGATATACTTGTACACATAGTTATCCAGTGTGTGAATAGTTCTTATTTCTTTAGAAATGTATTGCTAACTATTGAGAATAGATGTTGAGCGTAATCTAAAACCTTTTTATTCGGTTCTAAGAAATTACTTGGTGTCAAAGTTGTAAACAAAACGAACCAGTTCTCTCCGTGATTGCCTTAGGTGAGGCTTATTGCTTTGAAGGTAAATCTGACTTGCAGCTATAATAACAAGGTAGTTCATGCTTTTAGACATGTATTTTATTGCTATTACACTGACTACTTTTGCTATCATGAGTCGCCTTATCCCATACTGCTTTATTTATGAGGACTATAACAACCCATTGGTTCTGGTTTGTCCCTGCACTATAATGCCCTTTCACCTGCAAGGTGACCTCTGCATTGACTTTATGTATAACCAATAATCAGTAGGATAATTTTACTATTAACTGGAAAAACCATTGCTACTGAAGGCTTTTATAGGCCTATGGGTAGAAACACTGGCATTCAAATTCTGACTTCCAGTCCTTATCAGAAATTGCGCCTTCCTGATAGTGGCGGCATCCAATTGATTTGGCAGTACTTGACTATAATGCTATAATGCATCAACTGTTGCTTTACATTGCAGTAGCACTAGTTGTCAAGTTTGTTTCGGTACTCTTATGACACATGGACAAAATACAGTGTGCTGGTTTGTTATCCATCCATCCATTTTCTGTACACTCTTGTCCCTAGTGGGGTTGGGAGGGTTGCTGGTGCCTAACTCCAGCTAACCTTCCGGGCGAGAGGCGGGGTTCACCCTGGACAGGTCCCCAGTCTGTCGCAGGTGGTTTGTTATATAAAATTCTATAAAAGATATGCCATGGGTATTTTATGTTTTGCTCCAGAATGTTCATTTTAATTTTGCAGTGGTGTCATATTCACTTCAGTTACACAAGTGTGGCATTTTTCTACCAGCTTTGCACATCTAGAGATTGAAACACCTATTCTACTTCTTTACAACTCAAATTCAGTCAGTTTGAGTGGAGATCATCTGTGAAAATCAATTTCCAAGTATTCCCACAGATTCTCAAATGAATCCTGGACTCCTAGGCCTAGACTTTGAATAGGCCTTTATTAATCCAACTGTAGCTCCAGCTGTATATTTAAGACCATTTTCCTGGAGGAAGGGAATATTCAGCCTCAGCATTAAGTGTTTTCAACCACAACTGTATCCAACATCTGTCTGCTGTGTTCTTGGTCTTTATTATGCTGTTTTTCTCTAATGGATTAAAAACAAACGTCTGAGGTCTCCACAGAATAGCTGGCACTATTTTTTTTTAAGTGATTCAAAAAGGTAATGGCTTGCGTCAGAATTTATTTAGGGGAATTGTAATAAAGGAGGCTTAATAGAAAAATGCCTGGCACAGGCTTGCATTTTTAAAGGAAAAAAAAATCAACATTGTTTCACACAACATAGATAAAATAGGCAACACCCCTTCCCTTCTCCCTCCCCCACCCACCAATTGAAACAGTTGCATAGAACATCTGATCATCAGCCAGTTTCAGGATTTTTTGGAACATGTCTAAAACATTTATATCTCGACTCAAATATCCAACTCCTTTGAAATGATCACAACTGTTTCAATAATAATGGCGCAAAAATCTGGTGATTACAAACTGACCTCATGCTACAGTATGCACACACCTTGTCTTCACTGAAGAAGACTCATTCATTTTTCATGTCAATTGTTTGGAGTGTTATCAACATATGGCAGTCCAACCTACTTTCTGAATAATTCAGCAAACAACTGTCTTGCAATAACGCACACTGTGTTTAGAAAGTTTAACTTTTCTCCTTGGATGTAAATCTTCGGTATAAAAAATAAAAAACTGTGTAAAGGAACTTTTCTGTTTTTTTCCAAAAACCAATCCAAAATAATGGCAAGGGCATCTGACCTAAACAAAATCACCACTTTGGAGAGTTTCTCTAATGATATTTCTTTCCATTTCTAGTTATTCGGTGGTCTGGTATGGATCCTGGTGGCCTCTTCCAACGTGCCCGTGCCTCTGCTGCAGGGCTGGGTGATGTTTGTGTCCGTCACCGCCTTCTTCCTCTCCTCTTTTTACCTCACTCTGCTCGTCACTGGTTTGGCTGACCGCATCAACACGGACTGGAACTTCTTGGTAAGTGGCACACTTAAAAAAGGAAGAAAAGAAAAGAAAAACAAGTAAATCTCAAGCTATTTGTGTCTCCTGCTTGTCATTTCTCTTCTTGTCCTCAATCACACGTCAGGCTTTTTGTACATCTACCACCTCATCTGTGCAAGTTAGATATTATATGCATTTCAGAACTTCCTGGAACTAAACGAGACTTTTAGATAGATATTCAAATGTCACACAAATATTTTGGTCATCAACTATGAATATAACAGTATGAGTATACTATTATACTATTCACGGTAAGCTCTCTCTTTGATTCAAGAACCAAGCTTTAGTCCCACCAGATGTAGTGCAAAAGCTAAACATAGAATAAGTATTCAAACTAGCCATTAAGATATTTAAAGAGGAGAGTGAGATTTACATTATTCCATTTTATTAAAGCATGGTAAGCTAGTGTTACAAAGCACCATTGGGGAGACAATCTAAGATTTGAAACAGGTAGTCTCAAAAGCCACTTCATTCAATCAATCTTTTAAGGCAGGAATGTGATTGAGTGGCAGAACTGAGAGGACATCAAACAACTCATCAAGAAACATGGTATTAAGCTATATTAGACTCAGGAGTAACAATAGTTCCTCAGGCTTTCTGAAGATCTTTGAAGGTTTTTATTTTTGCTTCTTTCCCCCACAATTATTATTTGATTTAGAGTTTACACACAACAGCAAGATGAGCAGTGAACCAGATTGAAATAAAATGTCAAACTACAACTGGTAACAGAAGGATGGGTGTGTCTGGCCCTGTGTCAGAGCACTGTTTGAACTTTTCCTGTCAAAGTCACAATAAAAACCTGAGTAATCATATTCTTCTACATTATCTAATTTTGCAAAGTCAGAAACACTCTGTTTACATTTATAAAGTAAAAGAAAAGAAAAAAAAGCGTCAAAAAGGTTGCAAAAGGCTTGGCACAGAAAGCATATTTCACATCTTTCCAGGTCTGTTTAGGTAGTTGCATAAAGTCACCAGACTGGGTGTACAATATAAAAATAGATTTTTTTTTCCTGTAAAACATAAAATACATGAAGGATTGAGAAAGTATGGTGTTCTTACGTTATGTCACTGTAGTGGCTTTACATCTGGGTCAAGTCTGGACTCTCAGACAGAGCTAGCCTTTCCTCCGGCTCCACGCCCCGCTTCCAGGAGTAGCCGGGAGTGTAGGGTTGTTTGTTTTCAGCAGAACAATGAGTGACATGGATGATGAGCTCACACTGAAATACAACAAAGGGCTCCTTCATGTCCAGCCACGCTCACAGTAGTCAAAAACAAACTCTCATTAACCCTCCTTCTTCAGACACACCCTGTCTCATTCTTCCCTCTCTCTCTCTTATCTTTTTTAAGGCGTCTTTGTCTGACTTTTCTTGCATTTCGTTTTTCTGATTTGATCTCAATTGTATCTTTTCTCTTTTACTTGAAAGAATAAATTGGACTCAGCAGTGTCCAGTCAGCATAAATATTTACTTATTCTTGGACATGGATCCTGTATTTACAATTGATATCTTATCTTATCTTATCTTATCTTTATGTAAAAATGAACTCAGATCATTCCTGAAGATATTCATGGTTAAAATATAAGTTTTCAACGTTTTATTGCAATTATTTCACATAAATTTCCCTTCTTTTTCTCAGGATGTCTTCTACCACTTTCTAGCTTTGCTGTTCTACTTTGCTGCATTTGTGTTGGAGGCGGCAACCACAGCAGCGAACGGGGGAGCTCACATCAACTCACTACCAAACAGCACTGACTCGGTCCTGTGCATAACCTTCCCTCGGGGCAACATTTTCACAGTGCTGAGCTACAGGGAGTACAGCATTAATGTGGCAGCCACGGTCAGTTCATTTTAACATAAATCAGTTATAAAATGAACTTCTTAATTATAAGTTTCACAATCTAAGGTGCTGCAGTAAAATAGTAAAGATGCAGATTTACATTAGGTTGACAATAAAGCATATATTATTTATTCAGAGGTTTGGGACAAAGCCATGTAAATATTAGGCAGTGTAGGGTAATTAATTTAAGGGTATGGTTTTATTTCTCAGTGAGTGAAAAATGTAACAGTGTTGATATTTAAAAATAATCATAGTTCTCAGCCCGCATATTGTATAAAAAGACACATTAACGTTTTTTTTTATTATTTTAACCATCTGACATTAATTCAGACTGACGGTTTCCTGTTTAAACTCAGTTATGATGATCAAAATTATGTATTTTCTAAATGCCAGTCTGAGTTTTATTGAGAATGCATTCATAATTTTAAAGTTTATCTTTTTACTTGTACTATTTTTGTCTACCATATAAGATATAGTTTAAAGTTTGTTTTTGTTGGCTTACTTGTTTTTTTTTTCCTTTGTCCCAGATATTTGCCTTTGTGGTAACTCTTTGCTACGGAGGCAGTATGGTGATGGGGTTCAAGAGATGGAGGAAGTGACCAGGAGAATGAACAGAAAGTAACATTACATCTGCATTATGATGTCAGCATGTCTGCCAGACAAAAACAACCCGACCATTCAGTAATTCATCGACGTCCACTTTTGTTCAGTGAAGCACATAATGTATTATCTTCCTAATGTGAGCCTTTTGTCAGATAGCAAACCCTACATCAAGCAAAAATGAAGAAATTTCTTTATTGGAAAAAAATTCTTTGACACCCCATGCAGACAGGTCTTGCATAAGTTCAGTCAAGAGTCCTTCAGGCAAAACACAATGGAAATTAGAAAGAGAACTGAGAGGGCTTTATACTCTAATTTATTGTTTTAAGATTTTGAAAGGTGAAAACAATGCATGAAAAACATTTTTTTTACTCATGGAATTTAAAAAAATGACCCATTTTGCTTTTAAAACATTTTAGCTACATTTTTTGTTGATGAGTTGAAAACATATGTGATATCACTGGATGTTACTTTGAGGACTGTCAGATATTCTCAATAAACTTGAGAATAAAAGTTTTTTTTCCAGTATTATAGGAAACACACTGAATCAAACTTTGTCATATATAAATGTCAGAATTAGAAATTAAACTAGGTTAATCTGTGAATCTGGTAGTTTATCATAAATTAATCATGTAATCCTTTCAGCAATAAAGAAAAATCACAAAAAAGAGTAAAATATTTCAAACATCTGTATGTTCTGAAAAGCATTATATTAGTATTTGGTGTTTTATATTTAACTTTGTACTATTTAACTGCTTTAACTGATTTGAAATGTCACATGATTCATAATCTTTTATTGTGCACTGTTGTTTGGACTATTAATTTATGAGAGTTTTAGATTAAACATTTGTTTTGACTAGTGCTACTTTTGAAAACAGAAATGCATTTTGGAACTAAAGAAATAAAATATATAAAGCCTTACATGTGGTTTATTATTTGGTGTACTATAGATATGTTTACATGGAGTAACCAACAGAAATAAGATTATAAATCCTACTCATGCGAGCTTTTAGAATGCCAAAATATTATTAGAAGTGAGCTATTAATTTTTCTTTCTGGCAATGAAAAAACCAAGTAATACTCATGAGTTTTCCCACTTTTCTTTGTTTTTTTATATTATACAAATAGCACATAACTTAGATTGATATGGAATTTAAAAAAAAAAAAAGCACATGTGTATCTAATAAACTAGCATCACGGTTGAATAATCAAACATCCTAATTTAAATAGAAACTTGCTAAAAAAATACTTAAGCTAAACCAGTACCATATGTACACACAAACACTGGTCCACATTCCACCTAGTCAGCTGTACTAGTGGGCTTCTGTGCATATTTACACCCAAAGGAAAAAAGTAAGTCATAGTGTAAGAGTCTCACGTTCACAGAATTTCTAATCAATTTAAAAAGTAGAGCATAGAATGAAAAATGCTGTACATTTTTTTAAGGAACTGTTTAAAAAGCCAGTGATTGTGGCACTGGTGATCTGGTTAAAAACTGCTAACCGAATAATTGTACTCAAATCAAAGGTTGGAAATTTCTATGTTGAGAAGGTACGACTGCAATAAAAGATCCATTCAATTTATAGGAGCTCATCTCTACCATGTGATTGTGGAGTTTGGAAAAATGTCAGCTTGGTGAAACCAAAAAACAAGTTTTTGTCGATGAAGGACAGCAAATTGCTTAGGTTGTTTTGTCTGTTTTTATTTATTTTTTTAAGGAGCTGAATTGAGAACTAATTTTGACAAAATGCAGGGGAGGAGGGTCACCTGAAGAAACTGTAGACAAGAGATATCCCCCAGTCTAAAGGATTTGAAGAACTTTTACTGCATAGGCAAATATTGTCAATGAATGACACACTGATTCAGTCTCTTTTACCATGAAGTATGTGCCAAAAGATACTTCAACAGATATAAGTTTAAGGGTATGTATTACTTTTGCAATTTCTCGTTTTCTTATCTTCAAAAGGGCTTTTTTTTTTTTAAGTCGAATTGTATGGGGATGTCACATCACAGGTGGGAAAATGTATTTTCATTGTTTCATTCTTATTTTACAGAAATGTAAAATAATCTATTTCAAAACGGTGGTGTGGACTTGTATAAGAATTTAGGTGTGTCCCCTCTGTGAAAGTAATGAAACAGACTTAAAGTCTCGCAATTTCACAAATTTGCCTTAAAAACTGAGGGGACCCAACTCAAGCGGCTGAGTGGTGTAATATTTATTTAGGCCACTAGGTGACATCCTTTTTCTACAGTATTTTTTTAAAGATGCAAGCTCCCTTTTTTTTATCAATTATTTCCCTTTCCCATGCAGTAACAAATCCTCGCTTTTTAAATAGAATTATAAAACTGAATCCTGGATATTTTTTTAAGTCAAGGGTAAGAAAATAAGGACATGTAGTTTTATATTAGTGTGTTAACTTCAAAATAAAACAAATCCATCACTGAAAATATTAACTATTTAGACTGCATCTGTATGCCTTTAGTTCTTGCCAGAACTTTGAGAGAATACAGCCAATTTGATGTACGTGCATGTTTTCTTTACGTATAGATGACAAACCGGAAGTGTATGAATAAACTTTCACAATAAGACAGTAACGCGTGATGAATGTATCGAACGTATCAAGCAAATTGTGTTTACATTTATGACTGTATTCAGTTTTAAAATATAAGTATACATGAACCCGATTCTAGATATTTCGTAGTGTTTTTAAATCGTTGTAACCAGGCACAAAAGCCTATTTAAATGTTCGAGGAGCTTTTATTTTGACGAATACTGTCTATCGGATGTACATTTATAAATTTGGAAAGCTTGAGTACCACAACGTTCTCAGTTTTGGAAGCAGAGGGAGCACAGTGGGTATTTACTTACCTGTCGGGATACAGAGAAGTATTACCGTGTGAGCATTTTGGATTAGATTCATTCATTCATTATCAGCTTGGTACAGATTGAATTCCCAGTCTAGTCATGGATATAAACGAGGCGTCGTGGAGGGAAAAATGGGGTTTAAATTTCTCTTTTTTTCCAAACAGCTTCTTTTGATTTTAAGCGCTGCCCCAGAGCAGGACTGGACTGTGTTTTTAAACACACCTGACTGCGGTAAAAACTGTTTTTTTCCCCCAGTTTTCTCGCAGTAGACATTTTTAATTGTTCGCTTGGTCCTCCTTATTCAGACTTTTTGGGAAGTTTTGGCTCTTTTGGGCAGCGGAGGCGACTGGCGGAGTCAGGACTGACCACTGGAGCTGGTCCTGAAAAATGGAGGCTGTTATCGAGAAGGAATGCAGCGCTCTCGGAGGACTCTTCCAGACAGTCATTGGAGACATGAAAGTAAGCTAAAGAAACTTTTAAGAGCACAATTAGTGTTAATGTAAAGGAGAACCCCCCCGCCCCCAAGCCGCCTGAACTAAATTGTTTTATCTTAAACTGATGTACCAGCCGACCCTTGGTGAAAAACCAGTTTAGTTGGTAAGAGAGGTAGAGTTGAACTTAAATATACTCTTTTGGAATACAGTTGAGTAGAGCTATTATTCTTTCTAACATAAATTGAAGTATATTTGGACTGTGCTCTGGTTATAATATTGGATACCTTTTTGATCCAACTTGAAATAAATACAGCAGCCATCACTTATGTCCAACTAGGACAGTCAGAATTGGGGCATATAACTTTTGTATTCTTGACTGAGCACCGTGAGACCATTTACACCGTCCCCAGCTGTTGTATTTGCCTGAAGGCACGCTGGAATGTAGCTATCTGGGCAGAAAATTATCCACAAGGTAGGTAGACTTTGACATGCTCGGGTCAAATGTCCAGCCTATGGGGGTCTGCTGGAGTAAAGGAGTTTGTTATGAATACAGCTGAGGTATTCAGCACCTCTCAGTGCCTCATACCGCTCTGCTTGTTCCTCTCTGTAACTTACTGGTAACACGGTGCCAGATGGTGGTGAGGACATGCAAATACTGAGAGTATTTTTGTCTTCATGTATTCAAATTTTCATTCATAGATTTTATGGCACAACTGATAGGAGAATGTAGTTTTGCACGTTACACTGGCTTTCTATGTTTCAGCTTGAAGTGTTTTTTTTTTGTGAGCAGGAACTGCATTACATGTAGTGTTTAAAGTACCTGTAAGAGTATTCACACTATCTGTACCCCCCCACCCCCCCTTTTTAATCATGCTATATGCACAAAACTCAATGTATTCTATTGGGATTTATGCGACTGCATCAGAAAGTGGTGCATAATAAAGTAAAGGTGTACGATGCATGGTTTTCAAACCTGTTGACAAAGGAGCATCTGAAACTTGTGGCATCCATTTGTGATCTGTGGTACACTCAACTGCCTTCTCAAGTCAGCTAATTAGTTAATTGAGTCCACCTGGGTGCAATTTAATCTGGGTCTGACAAACTTATTTTAAACTCAGAGGTTTGTTCTAGAATTGTCAACAGTATGGCATCATGAAGATGAAGGAATACACCAGTTTTGGTGTATGGTTATTAGAAAAAACATATCTTCACAGTTCAATCATTCATCTGTAAATGAAAAGAGAGTTTGGCATAGCTTCTGACCTACAAAGACCTGTCGGTCTGCTTAGACCACAGGTGTCAATCTACAATCCTCACAGGCCGCTGTCCTGTAGCTTTTAGATGTGCCTCTGCTGCACCATACCTCAATAGAATAATTAGGTCATTAGCAAGGCTCTGGAAACTTTTCTACACCAGGAGGAGGTAATTAAGCCATTTCATTCGCGTTTTGTACCTGTGGCACATCTAAAAACTGCAGTGCAGCGGCCCTTAAGGACTGGAGTTTGGCACCCATGGCTTAGATTGATGGGCAGAAGAAATGGCAGCATCATGCTGTGAAGATGTTAAGCTGGGAAAGAGAATCTGGTCAAAACTAGTAGGAAGATTGATGGAGCTCATTCCTGGAAGAAAATCAGTTGGAAGCTGCAAAATACTCAAGGCTATTACAGATTCTAACCATCCAGTAGGTAAAAGACTCTGACGCTTCACTGGAATATGTTGGAATTTCCCAGTCAAAGCCCAAATCCAATTGAGAATTTGTGGCAACCCCAGAAAATTACCTTTCACCGATGCTTACCCATTGAACCTGACTGTTTGAGCAATGTTGTAAAAAGAAATGGCTAAAAACTTCAGTCTGCAAATGTTCAAAGCTAGTAGAAATGGCTCCAAAGACCTTGTAATAAAAAGCAAAGGGTAGTGTTGCAAAGATTTTATTCTGGGGTGGCTGATTGTAAACTTGTCTGGTCTATCACATAAATTATTTGTATGGGTACTTGTAGAAAGTATCCATACAAAGAAATTTTTGCTCTTTGTAGAAGAACAAAAACTTACAAGGTTTTATAACTTTGCATTTATAATGACTGGTAGCTCCTTGGTGCCAACATAAAAAGGGACACAGTACAGTGATAATTCCTAGTAGCTCAGGTAGATATGGAAATAAGGGTCATAAATGTACAACTTTGCACAAGCCAGCAGCACAGGAACATATATTGTAACATATCTTATTCATTTTCGAGAGAAACTTCCGGAGAAAACCCAAATTACTGAATGGTCAAAGAGACTGTGTTTGCTTATTTAAATAGAAATTTGAGATTCAAACTCCAGAACGTTGTGCAGCCTGTTAGGTGACCTTATGTTTAATAGCCTGAACGTCTTCAAGGTCTAGTCTGTCAACAAGTAATAGGAAAAGTATAGGAAGTCAGAAGTGAAGCTTAGAAGTGACTGTATTAAAAGGATGTTAGGTTAAATTAAATGGAGTGAAGGATTGGAGCCATGCAAAAACGTGAAAGTTTGCTGTAGAAATGCACCAAACGGTGCAGTGGTTATGTAATATGAAGAAATTTGGACCGTGGGTCAAATGAGTCGACTTAATTGTTGGGTGTTATGTTTGACAGTACAATGTGACATTCCTCAGGCCCCTGATACTAGTTCCAAAGCAGTGACAAAATGCACGGATTCTTTAGGGAGCTTTATCTCTTGCTTACAAACTTGTTGGCCTTCTCTTTCTCACTCATATTTGGCCTTGTTCTCTGTAGCTGTTTGGGTACAGAGCTCCTCATCTGCTTTTTTAGTCCAGAAATTTTGAAAAGGGAAAAAAAAAAAAACCTGTCCCATCTGGACCTGGACTCATTATACCATAGCATTAGTGTACTCATTGTTTTGGATTGTTTCCAAAGGAGGCCCATGACCCATTTTGCAGCCTAACACGCAAGGAGGACATGATGGTAATCTCTTATTTTACTCTTAAAAATGGCAGAAGTCTGACTTTAATTGAAGTAAATTAAACATAGTTTTCAGGAAACAATTTGGAACTATAATACTAGATTTTACTCTTTTGGTAAACGAATTGTACCCTGATATCTTAAGATCATGAAACAATCAGGTCTAATTGCAAGTATTATTAAAACGTAATGTTGGAAATGACTCAACAGGGCTGCATTCATGAGGAAACCCGAGCTGGCGTTAACTCTGTTCAGGTGAGGCCAGGCATCAGGATTGGGCCATAGGTTTTAAGCTGTTATGTTCATAACTGTGGGAAAAAGTAAGTCTGTTCCGACGGTGAAATTGCATCATGACGGGTTTTTTTTATCTCCGTTCCCACAGAGCAGCTGCCCTATCTGGGAAGATTTTATCACCAAGGCAGGAAAACTGCAGTCACAGCTCAGGTGAGTGTGTGATAATGTACACATATGACATGTTTGAATGTTTGTTCAAATCTTAATAAGCAAAACTTAAAGTGTGTTTTTAAGCTGCGTAAGAGCAGAAATCACTTTTTTTTTAGAAATAATGTTCTATTAATTTCAGCAATGCAGGTTCTTGTTTGGATATTTTAATTTGTGGAGCCATTTGGTCTCTTTTTTTTCTTTATGTGTAATAATATAGACTTTTAACAAAGGAAGAAACCCATGTGTAAAACAAAGTCAAAATATGTATAAACGACTGGTAAAAATGGTAGATATGTGTGGAGAGATGTTATCCACATACATTATAATCAATTCTGTTGTAACTTGAGCTCATAGTGAATTGTTGCCAGAAGCCGTTTCAGCCCTCCTTTTACCAATCATATCAGGGGAGCTCATGCACGTCTTATATGCATAACAGATTTAATTTTCCTTTTCCTTCTTTAGGGAAATTATGTTTGACCTTGAACAAAATGTTAAAAGGAACTAAAATTATAAAAGTAAATTTATTTGTTTAGTTAAAATCCTGAAGAATGTGCAGCATATGTTAGTTTTGTCCAGAGACATTCCTTTGGTGCCGTAGCAATCAAATCAGTTGAACCATATGCCTCCTAATCATAAACCCAATTTTGCAACTGATTTTGTACCTAATCTACGCTTTTATTGTAGCCATATAGCTTTTAATAACAACAATTATGTTTACAGAATTGCTTTCTTTCCCAACACTAATTGGAGCATCCTTATGTAAGCTTCAATCACCGTTGTCTTATTTAATTCATCTTCTAAAGACTGTAAATGTATACAGCTTCAGGCTTACTTGTTTCAAGTCCTTGTGAACAGCAGTCACCTCTCCTAGTTGGGTTTAAGTGGCCACGTGTCAGAAGACGAACAACTAACGACAACGAAAATAAAAGATCTTTGTCCAACAAGCACGGCAGATACAGACATCCCGTGGTTTTAATTATTCTTTGATTAACTGTGCATGGCATTTCCCCAGCAGCGAAGGTGTCCATGTGTCCTCATGCTGACACTTACTGACAGCTGTATAAAGGTTCAGTGACACAATAATAATCGCCTGGGTGCGCTCGGTGTCCCATTGTTCTGTTTACCTCTCTATTAAGGTTGATTATTGCTGAAATGTTATTCGACTCTCTCCATCATTCAGGGGGTCAAATATGTGACCCTGCCATCCAAAATGTCCAAGGAATATTTGTTAGCTTGTTGCTAATGACTGGCAGTTTTAAAAGTACCATGTTAAAGTTTGGTCATCAGGCAAGTGTTAAAAAAAATAAACAAATTTCCTGACATCCCCATGGAAGCTAAGTGTGAGCTATAGCAATATAGAGCTACCAGTGGGCTGGTAACTGCATTATAATTTACAAGTGGTGTCATTTTTGTCCACATGTGTTTTGCTTTCCAAACAAGTTACAAAAGGGGCTATGTATGAGAATTAAAATGTCAGCAGCATTGCAACTTAATGATAAATAACTCAGAATAATTATCTTTAATGCATTCATATAGATCCCTTTTCCATTAAGATGATGGGTAAGAGCTACTGCTTCAAATGCTTCCCTCCAGATGTTCAATAATGTAGATTTGGTAAAATGCGCAACTAGGAATAATAATCCTTAGCAAGTCCCAGCTACCGTTTCCATGTGCTAAAAACAAAAATGCACGTTGTTATTTTAAGAGTCCATATTCACACAAAAACAAATCAGCCTCATTATGCGTAGGAGCAGTAGAAACCATTGCATTTAAATGCACTCTGTGTTCTCCCAGAATCGCTCAATGAGAGCTTTCAGAAATGTTTACTTCCTGCTTTACACTGAATGTCATTCATGGAAAGATGACTACTCTGTGGTATATTTAGACTAGACTTTTCCAGGTGAAGTACAGCCTGCGACCTGGTCCCAACAGAGGAGTGGTTATGATGTTAGGCTGTGTGTAGATATTTTTCTTTCTTTATGTTGTGTTTGCCAACATGTCTTGTTTTTGGAAACTGACATGTAAGATCCTTTCTGTCCATTTTTAGACCTGGTTCCAGTAATTTTTTACAGTTTTCTGTTTTCCATAAACCCCCAATTGATGGACCTCTGTAATCTGTTTGGGAACTGGACTATTCTGAGCAGCTAACACATGCATGTAGTAAAACACAAACACACCCACCTTCTCATCTCGGTCTGGATAAGTTACCAGACCTTATCCAGTAGTGGTTGAAGCATATGTCAGTGGGTCTATTGCAGCCAAAGGCAGTCTACTCTGTAATTAAGCCCCTCTGCTCCCTTTACAAAGCAGCCAGCATATGAGCCAATTACAGTGTAGTGACAGTTTGGTGGGATTTCATTTCCTTAAAAAAACATAAATGTGTTTTCTGGTAATGGAAATGGATCCCTCTGACACATGCTTTAATATGAGGTAATTTCTCTGTAAATCTGCCAGACTTTTTTTTTTTTTTTATGGTTGATGCAGTTGTATCAGTTGAGCTACAAGTTCATACAGTGTTGAAGCACTATTTGGAGTATTTCAATTATCTTCCGAAGTTCTGATCTAAATTTGGTGTTTTATATCTGATGCAGGCTATAACGGGTGTTCCTACTGTACGAGGATGCATTAAACACCAAGTACCTACTGTGTGATAAGTCAAGCATGTTATGTTCCTGAGACAAGTTCAGCCAACTCAACCTCTTTCTATGATTCGCATTTAGTCACATTCCAGCTTCAGCTTCTCTAAGAATAGATGAGAGCAGTGAATGTATCATTGTCGTAAAGAGTACTCTGCTGTACTGTGGCGTTCTCTGCGGGGAGTTCAGATTGGCCTGGCCAAGGCCTTGTGGAATAGATATGTTAAAGTCATTTGTCTTGACTTATAGGAGGGGTGTGTGCAGATTTTAAAACCAGTGGTAGCAGTCAGGTCCTTGTTGGAGTATGGCTCACAGCTTAAGCGCTTGCTGTACATACAGTGCCTTAGAAAAACATTCACAAACTTTGATATGTTTTACTTTTTGTCACTAAGCAACCATAAACTTCAAGGTGTTTTGGGGAGTTTTTATGTCATAAATAATCTATACTCTCCCATTGCTGTGATGCTTCTTAGTAAAACTCAATGAATTGTCTCCTGAAGTCTCATATTTACTAGAGAGAATCCACCTGTGTGTAATTTGCGCTCAGTATAAGTGGAGCAGTTTTGTGAAGCCAGAGAGCAGTTAGAGAACATTAATGAATTAATGGCATTACAAAGTCCAAAGAACTGCTCGTGGATGAAGTTGTGGAAATGTCACAAGAAGAGATGGGTCATAAGTCAACACCTCAATCTTTGAACATCTCCCACAGCGCTGGAATCAACTATCCAAAACACTTTGGAACAACTTCTTAGGTGCAGAGACCCACAGCTCGGGTGGGACAATCTGTAGACAGGAGTAGTGTTAGTTGTGCACTCTGCAAATCTGGACTTTGTAGAAGATTAACTAGAACAATGTCATAAGAAAATAAAGTTTAGGTCTGTCTTAAACATGATTAGATTTGATGGGCAAAACAATGGAACTACATACATGACGGTTGTGGAAAGCATCCAGAACTGCCATGTAGTTCTGGATGCTACATGGCATCCAGAACTACATGGCAGTGAACAGTTCAAGCTCAGTTCACTGAGCTTGAACTGTTGTGCAAATAAGATGATGATAAGCATCTTATTTGCACAACAATAAGCATAAGCATCTAGACGAGCAAAGCTGGTGGAGACATACCCAAAAAGACGTGTTGCTGTACCTACTGCAGTAGGTGTCTCTGCAAAGTACTACCTCAGTGAGTCCGGATACAATTCAGATTTCCATTAGTAAAAACAACCATGTTTCACTTTTCTTCCACTTCACAAGGTTGCACCCTCTTATGTTGGCTTATGATAAAATTCTAATAAAATATGTTGAAATTTGTTGTAATTGAAAGATTTCAAGGAACTTTAGCAGTGCACCTGTAAATTAAAGCGATGATTATAGCCACATGACTCAGAGCTGAAACAAGGATGCTGAATTTTTACCTGCACAAGAAAATAAGAAACAAATGTACCATTCATTCATCTCCAGTTGAAATGTGAATTAAACTAATCATTATGACTTGGATTCCAATTATTGTTCCTTAACATTTTGCATTCAGTTGTACTGAAAGCGGGTTTTAAGCCACTTATCACACAAATCCACTTTTAGTTAATGATTTAATCTTTGGTGAACGTGATTTGGCTTCAAGCACCTGAAAAATATTATCCATAGACCAGTAAATGCACGTAATAAATAAGTGGAGCCAGATATCAGAGGCTGTTATGGTGCCTGTGTGAGGCTTTAAATAGAAAGGCATCTGCGTGTGCCTGTGCGTGTGTTTCTTTTTCCATTTGCAGGACACACCCATGGATCTTCTGGTCAGCTCTCCCACAAAACACCGCCTGTTAACCAATACTGCATTAAGTTTCTGAAGGAAAAGATTGTTCTGTGGAAGAATATTTGGGCTAACCCAGCGTTTGGTTCGCTTTTCTTATAGAGTTGTGAAAGGCTGCTTTGTGATGACCTGAACACAGAAATCTTTTCCTGCATCTTCTGAAAATGCAAGCTGAAAATCACCCCAATCATTCTGTTGTATATATTAAAAAAATAAAATAAAATGCTTCTCAAACAAATTAAATATTCAGGTAAAGCGAAAACAATCTTTAGTCTCTTCAGAATTGAAATCCTATCCTTATCTTTTATTTACCTGATGCCAGCGTGTAATGGTGATGGGAATTCCCAAGTCGTTTATGGAGGTTTTCTGTTGCCACATAGAATAACAAGTGTTTGCAAATTACCCACTCGGCGTTAGAACAAAAGAGCCTGTGTGAGGGAACAAACTTTGGAAAAATTCTTGACAATTGTGTTACTTTGTGTGGTATGCATCACATACAAGTGGCCCAGTCTCTGTAGCGGGGAGCTCATATATCACGTTCATGCTCCTGTGCACACTAAGCTTCTTTCATCTTCATACTTGTGGTCATAATCCTGCACCGTCTGTTGTTTCTAAACCAGACCAGCGTTTTGGAGGGTAACCAATTACCTTGATTGCTAAAAAGCAGCAAGTTATGAACTTGCATAATAGCTGATCTTTCAGGTACTTGAATAAGGAGCCAGTTGAGTAAGATGGGGGTAATTTTAAAACAAAATCATAATCTTTCACTAGTTGTTGACTGATTTATACGGTTAACCGGTCTTGACCCTCTCGTCTGTCCCTGTGCATGTTCAGTATTTTCTCATTTACTAAAAAATAAGATGATGGGAAAATTAGGTCAGTTTGGCAATCACTTTACGCCCTTTTTATTGCAATGCAGGACTCAACTGAGTTGATCCCACACTGATCCCTTCATTGACCTGGAAGTAAGGCAAACTCAGCGTAATTACTGAGACATTCTTCACTCAGCAGGGCATGTTCAACCTGTAGTTAAAACGCTTGTATTACAGTACATGTTGAGTTGTGAAAACATCGACCTTGATGTTTACTTTACAGAAACCAAATGCATGTACATGTTTTGTGGTTACGCTTGTGTAATGTGTCTTGTTTACACGTCTACACCTTTTCATAAAAACAGCTTTTAATTTTTATTCTTCAGGTCGCATGTTAAAGTTCAGCTTATTAATACACCTCTATGAAAAGATATTTACAACCTTATAGATGGTTTGTTTTGACTTTTTTGACACTCTTAAATGTCAAAGATAACCTGAGTAAATGGAAAAAAAATGGCTTTTGAGTTGGGATTTCATTTATAAAGGGAACAAACTATCCGATTCAACCTGGCCCTGTGTGAAAATATAATTACTGCCCTTGGTAAATCATCTATTTACTTTGATTAATAGCATTCTCTTGGTTCAATTTCATGAGTCAATCCCAGGTCAGATTACATTATGTTGGTGAAAACAGCTCAGAATACAACATATGCCCCTGATCAAAAGAAATTCAAGAACAGACAAGAAACAAATTTCTTAGCAACTAGGAGTCTGGGAAATGTTACAAAGGACTTTGGGACTCCAGCTATTCACAATGGGGGTCATTATCCACAAATGGAGAAAACATGGAACAGCGCTGAACGTTCGTAGAAGCAGGTGGCCTACAGTAACCCTTGATCCTGACTTGTCACTGACATTGGCCCTCCACCACTCAAAATATCTGTTAATTTGGCACATTTGATAGCATTTTGCACAGATTTTTTTTTCTCTTCAGTTTTTCAGCCCCAATCTTCCCATTTGCCTTTCTTATTTAGCATGTTTGCTAATTTAGCCTGCTCTTCGTACTTTCTTTTTTTAAATCAGAAGGGCTTGCTCGCATCTCCCCTTAGTATGCAAAATATCAGATTAACCCAGTCTGACATTTCATTGACTGTGAAGTGCCACAGCGGCAGTGAGGGCGGCTGTGTGGCAACCTTGATGTGCTTTATGGGATAAAGAAAAAGAAGGAGAAACAATTCGTTGTGTTCAGCCTGGAAAAGACTGGCTGTTCAGGAAACCTCTCAAACCTCAAGATGGCCAATCCAAAGTTATCGTCCATTCTCATATGTTGGGTGGGGAAAGTAATGTTTGCCTCATGAATCTGTTTTCCTGTCTTAGGGCGACAGCAGTGGCCGTCACGGTCTTCCTGGATGCTTTCCAGAAAGTGGCCGACCTGGCCACCAACTCAAGAGGTAGGAATAGTCTCTGTATTGTAGTTAACCCAAAATGTTTGACAGCCATGTCACTCTGTTTGTCTTTGCGACTGCATTATGTTGGACTCCAGCTCTTCACCCTACGGTGTGTGGAATGTCTGCGGCTCATTGGCTGCATTGTGTGGCTAATAAATCCATCAGTGCGCTGTTTGAAGCTCTCTTGTTGGCTCTGTGTTTGACCTCTGCTCACCTTTTTCCACTTTCTGTAGCCCAACCCCCCCACCTCTTCTACATCTGGGCTCTCTGCTGCTGCTCTGTTTTCATTCTGAATGTGTGAGAGTGGGAAAGTGGTAGAGTAACAGATCTCATCTTTCCCTAGCTTGGACACTTCCAGCCACGCACTGTCCTATTAATAGGAACTGAAACAGACGCACACATTCGTTACCTCAATCACAGGAGTGAGAGTGATGGAGGAGAGCTGAAGGGAGGTGCAGGGAGTGATCATCCTCTCCTTCGCCCTCTTAGATTATATCAGTTTTTTGTAAAGGGGTCCAGATCAGTTGGCTGAGAAGCCTTGCATCACTTTTCCTCTGCCCTTTTCTCACTGACTTTGACTTGCAGTCTTTTTATTTCGTTCAGCAGTATCACACAGCGCTTGCCGTTTGGTGCACTGCGGCTCAGGCTTTATTTAGATTTAAGAAGCAAGGGTAGATAATGAGCTACGATTTTCAACGTTTATGCACGGCAGGTATTTACCTTCATATTACAACAAGCTCTTTTAACTTATGGAGGTTTCTGCAGTGCATGTCAATCTAATGTAATCTAAATTGATGCGGGAGGTGGTTTTAAACCCAAAATGTTCTGACTTTTGTTTCTTTATGTTGTGATTAGAGGCTCAGAAAGGCTGTGGGTTTGGATTTTAATAACCAACCTCTACTAGCAGAGCGAATAGCTTCAATATAGAGTTAAGGTGCCATTTGTTCAGGCTTCAATCTGACAAAAAGTTAATTTGTTACTTTAAATTTAAATAGTTAAAGATGATAATGTGGGTTAGTAAGGACCGTCCAGTTTAGTGATTCAGAAGAATGAAAAATTGCGTAGATGTTCAAAAAGCACACTAAGAGTTGATCTTTTCCTAAATAAGCTTGACTGGAAGGTGCTGTATTCACAAAACCGAGGATATGTTTTAAGTTATAATTCTCATTTTTGGCTCAGTGAAGAGGTCAGGAATGCCTGCAGTAATTAAGATTAAAAACATGTTTGCATACACTCTTGTTTTTCAGCTTATCAGCTCTTTATACTGCCATCGATAACTTTGAGTTCAAAGAGTCTGTTCCTGTATCTACATTGATACTGAGACAATCTTCTTTTGGCAAGTCATAATTGCCAAGAGGCTGATGAGGAATTATATTGAGATGCATTTTAATTCCTGCCTTTTTTGAAATCTTTTTTCTTCTATCTTTTGCTGTGTCTGTGTTCTTTCAAGTCTTATCCTTGTTTCTACTCACATCACCTGGCATTGAAATCAGTGGTTTGGAGGTCAAAGGTAAATGTTTGAAGAGCTAGAGTAAAAAGCCGACAGCAGTTTATCTCTTGTAGCATCAATAAATGTAGCCGTAAAAGCAACCAGTGCACACAGTGAATGTCATTAAAGCCCTTAATCAAGAAATTGACCTTTCGCAGCTTTTGTAAATAGTTTTATTTCCTTGAGAAATTAACATTAATGGTGCCTTATAAAGATTCAGACCTGTAGACTTTATATCTCATCAGAGTAAAGTTAAGTTTCAAAACAAATCTCTTGACACGTCTATTTATGCAGTAGGCAATCTGAATTCAAGCTTTGGTTGGCTGAGCTTTGGTTACTTGATCTGTTTTCGAAATGGATTGGACTTTTTTTTTTTTAAGCAGAATATAATGCTGATTGGACGGCCCTGCATGTCAGGAGTTGGTTAGTGAACCAGAGCATACTTTTAAACTTTTAATCCTTTTAAATGTTTATAGTATACGTCGGCTTAAATTCTCTGAGTTATCTTTGTGCAGTCAAGTAGAGACTAACACCAGCATTGTAAAACAAACCAAAGCCTTAAAAGGAAGGTGGGAATGTAGGAGAACAGCCATTAGAGAAAAGAGTAACCATATGCCTCTCTGCCTAAATACTTTTCCTTTCACCTTCTTTACTTTTTTATTTCTTGTGTATATACATTTTATATAAAATATATATGTTTTAATCATGCATTTATTTTACATGCAAGCCAGTTTTGGAAAACATCAAAGTATTATGTTCGAATACTGTGGCTTTAAGCTGACATCCTTGTCGTTAAAAAGCCATCTTCTTGCAACTAAAACCTTTTCTTTCTACCATTAATGTGGAAAGGAAAATAATTCAATGAAATGAAAAACAAGCAAATTGTTGAGGTAAGAAGTGAGGTTTCATTTGTAACTTATAAGTTCAAAAGGATCTAAATGAAATAACTGTACAAAGGTAGCAGTAAGGAGAAGGGGACAAAAATATCGACAAAAAAATACAGATTAGGTTTACTTATTGTGGACCTACAGAGTTGTTAGTGTCTTCAAACAGGGTAACAGTTGGGATAGGACTAATTATTTGATTTAATTTTCAACTCATGTCAGCTTTATTGAATTGGCATGTTTTGTAGCCTGACTTTAGAGGGATACTCATAGATCTGGCAGGATGGAACAATCACTTTGACTGTCTGAGACACAGACAAAGCTGTTTTCAGGATATTGCTAAATTCGCACTGAAAGGAAACAGAACCTGTTTAGACAAAATGACTGCACTTCTCTAAGTAGGTAAAGTGATTATTCCAACTACAGGTGTGATGATTTAATTAAATTTTTAGACTAAACTGCATTTGAGAGACCTTGTTTGCTTCCACGTTTCCAAAGCTGTCTGAACAGGAATGGGATTTTCTTCTTCCAGATAAGTATGGAAAAACAAAATAAAATGTGGAGTAACTTTTTGCAGTTCCAGAATATTCCCTGTCCCATTTTCAACATAACTTTTAATATTTACAACAGTCATAGTTTTGTATTTTTTTTTCTTATGACTGATCCACTTCCTCTTTTTTATCTTTTCAGATTTTATATTTAAAGCCTGACCATTACAAACATACTTTTGTTCATTGTCATGTTGAAATTTTGTTTTTAATCTTTGTAAATGTAGTAATGCTGGACTTGGAGGACTTGGAACTGCTAAAATTTGACTTCCAAGTCAAATTTCCAACACATGTGAAATGTGTCGGAAATTAAAACTATTGTTTTTGTACTCTTATTTAAAATAAAAATATGTGGCGTTGAACAGGGTCCAACCTTATATTGTTAGTAGGATTTGCTGCATGAATGTAAATTTATTCAAAGCTTAGTTTGTGGCTGTAAAAATCATCAGGTTGAAATAGAAACTGTAGGATTCACTCTTTCATGCTCTGAGTGCTTGAGCTACAAATATGTTTTTAAGCTGCTGCTGAATTACCAAACTTCTTTGTTTTGTAATTTTTTTTATTTTACTTTTGACGTTGTGTTAAGCACATGGAAACAAATTACAGACAAAACTTGTCAATATATTTCCTTCCGTTTTCCTTTCCTCTGAAATCTCAAAGTTTGCTGGATGAAAAACAGGACAAGGCTCCATTGAAGCCATGACAAAGAGATAACGGAGACATGAGACCATCACGAAAGACCAGCTTCAGAAGTGAATAATCCTCTCTTGTTTCATCAAGCATCAGTTCATTTTCTGTGTGTATCCCCTTCTTTCTTTCTGTTCTCTATCGAGTTACAGACACGTCATAGTTTCCTTCTTTGTGGAACAGCATTATGCCTGTTTCTGTGTGCCTGTTGTCTGTTTTTTACCTAATTTTCTGTGTATCCTTGGATGCTTAACCACAAAACAAATCTGTAGTATTAAGTTCAACATAAGAGTGTGAGGGGAATGAAGTTTGAGTGATTATTCTGGACTCAGCAGACGACCTACAAAGAATGAGCGTATTAATGCTGACACTGAATTGCACACAGGTAGGCTAGTATTGACCTAGATGACTTTTAAAGGTACGTGTGTGGGGCGATTTCTCAGATTCAAATAAATTTACAGCAAATCATGTCTCATTTCCTTCCAATTGCTTTGCTTAATTTATATGAAACTATGCAAAACAATGGACTAATTGGCAGCATCATTAAATCTGTTACTCTCCAACTGTTGGTTGCTAAACCACAGATTCACGTTCACTCACAGCCTGTTCAGATTTTCTCACACCACCCAAGCCATAATAGTTTATTAACAGTCGTAAAAAAGGCCTCGTGTCGGATGTGGGTTGGCAGCTTTTTTTTTTTTTTTTTTTCCTTTTCTTTTGAAAACTGCCTCTACATGAACTTCTCTGTGTGTGCTGAGAATATTAGGTGTTCGTCTCTGGTAGTAATAATGCCGGTGGCTCCTCTAGCAGCTGCAGGGAAGACTCTCTTTAGACAAGTCTGAGTTTGTGGTAATGAAATATACACCTGCCACACAGGCAGCATGTAGAAGCACGCTGGGTCTGTTCAGATGGAAAATAATATTCAGCAGCTGCTAGAATGACTGTGTTTTCCCTGCTCTTGGTGTATGGGATTTTCATTTAAAATCAGGTGTGTTTTTTATTTTACTTATTTTTATTTTATTTACTTACAGCTTTATTTTAGCCGTTTTCTATTAACAGAAATTATTCCTACTGGTGTTAAAATAAACATACATTTATACAGTTTGGTTATACACAATCATACAAACACACATCTGCTTAAATTAGTAGTGGTTTCAGTAGTTATTGTTCAGAATATAATTAGGCTTTGTTATAGTTCACTTTTAAAGTAAACAACAAGCGGGTATTAGACGGGGATGGGGGTAGGGTTCTCGGGTCTCTTCTATAAGTAAAACAATTTTTCTTGCATATTTCTCACCTCTATAAACGCCAAAAACTGCTTGTATGCCCTGACAAGCTGCCATCTCTCATATCAGCTGCCGATGAATATCTGATTGCTTTTTTGAATACAAAAGTGAGTTTATGTTAAACATTCGTGAGGGCATGATGTTATCTCCATCATCTGCATGTGGGAGTCAGGATGTCAGTAATTTTGCACTGGGACACAGCTACTGCAGCAGTGGCTTTTAGTTCTTCAACGGATGTGTTTTGGTGTATTTGTGGTATAAAGTAGGGCACAGTATGAAGATGGATTGACCTGGTCCAGCCTCTCTGAATTTTGATGAAATCAGCTGATAATTTGGTTGTGGCTTCTGGGTATTCATGAGCCTGCATGCCAAGAAATTAAATGGTACCGCTAGTGGTGTGACCCAGTTGTGAGAACATCTAAATATTAAAAAAAAAAAAACACTTCTTAAAAGAAAAAGCAAAAGGCATTTAATAAATTTCCTAAGCTGTAGATGATAAAAGCTGGTAATACTGTTACTCCCTTAGGCACTTCCCCAGGGAAAAGAGGTTGTAAATAACAGATGTCTTTCAAGATTTATCTTCCAAAAATCTAGTAATGTCTGCTGGTTTCTGGGCACAATGTGCGACATGTGGTATGTGTTATCTCTGCCTCTTTTTTGTACAGATTTATATAACTGACCTACACAACAACAATCTTTTTTACTGTTCAGTAAAAAAGTTGTACTAAAACGAGACCTAAGAAAGGGTGAAATTGTGATTAATCTATAGTCATTTTTAAACGATGGCCT